GAGGTAAATTTTTGCAGCCGGAGCTGGTCGTAACCCAAAAAGTTCGTTAGTAGAGGCGTTCATATCCTGAGGTACCACTGTAAAAGTTTTTATGGTGCAGTCTGAAATCTGTTTATTAGCCTAGCAGCAAGTTTCCTTGTATTCATTAGGAATTATTTCCAGATAAGTGCATCTAGAATTGCGCTGCATTAACTTTTATGCATATAGCGGTAGATCTGCTCCTTCAAAATAGAAGTAAGAAATATTGTATATAGAATAACAAAAAGAAATATCTGTAAATAAAAACACAACATTGAAACTCCAGAGAGATTCCACAAAACTTTTTAAAGGCAGATATCTTGGATGTTAATTCTATTTAAGGGTATCTGCTGTCATAAATTATACTTTGCGCAAAATAACATTTTAGGTAATTGACCAGTGAGTTGCCCTTCCAATAAGAATGTTTTAATATTAAAATGTGGATGAATAAGTGCATTTTACTTATCAAATGTGACAGATTGTGTAACAAGAAAAGGTCTGTTTCAACTTTTGGGTTGTGCGAATCTTACAGGTAGGTTATTGTTAACTTAAGTGTAGGAATGATGTACTTTTATTGGACAGTGAGTGTAATCTATTGTTTTGCTCTTCCCCACCCCAGATATTATTTTCCTTCAAGGTACAGAAGTAATATTTAAGATAGCACTATGTCTGCTTAGCACCCAGGAGGAACGCATCATGTTGTGTGAGACATTTGAAAGCATTGTTGAGTTTCTTAAGAACACTCTTCCAGACATGACAAGGCCCCAGATGGAGAAGATTATGTCCCAGGTAAAAGCATTTCCTTCCTTTCACCCTCTCTTTCTCCCTTCCTAGGAGCTGAGGGCATGCTCGAGCATCACCTGATTGCTAGCGCTGAGTCTTGGAGGCTGACCTGTGACTCACTGTTCCTTTTTTTTTTTAATAATAGTTTTTATTGAAGTTTTTAATAGACATAACTTATTTCTTGCTTTTCTTTTCTTTTTTAGTTTAGTTTAGTTTGTATTTGTTTTTACTATGTCTATGAAAATTGTTCCTGATTGAACCTCACCTCTGATACAAACTTTGTTCTTTGAAAAGTTCCCAAAATGTCCTGTATTTATAAGTTGCTGCGATAACCTGATCCACCAGTTTTCGAGTATAAATATATCTTTGAGGTGCTGTAGGTATTAAGTAGTTTCTCTTTGAAACATGTAGCTTTTTTTCAATTTGCTAAGCAGAACTTTGCATAGAGCAAGATGGCCACCCTTTTGTCAGTTGTCCAAGAAAATTCTTTGGATAATGTGCCCAGATTCAGTGGTTCCACTTAAAGTTACACACTCCATCTTGTAATGACTCTGTGGCTGGTCCCTACAGACTGCAACTTTTAGTTCAGCGGTTCCGGAAACTGAGTGTGAGAGAAGCTTCCCGCCTCCCCCCTTTGCTTTGGCACGTTGGTCGTCCTTTCTCTCTCTGGGATCCAAAATGTCTTCTCTTCAGTTAGTCGGCAGGTTGTAAGGAGTCTTTTCCCCTCTCCTTCACTACCCACGATAGGTATTTGAGATGGATATTTCCAAACAGCTTCACGCGTATGAGGTGGAGTACCACGTTCTGCAGGATGAATTGCAGGAGAACTTGAGCCCGTGTGATGAGATTGAGGCTTCAGAGAAACTTGAAAGGGCCAACAGTCAGCTGAAGAGACAGAATATGGATCTCTTGGAGAAACTGCAGGTAAAACTCAACAAAGAGCCAGGCTCAGTCTGAATTTGGGACTCAGTTGTCAATGTAAAATTAGGCAAAGAAGAAGCCCTGCAAGAAACTGTTCAGAGCCACCTTTCTGTTTTAGAGGGACATTCTCTTAATTCCTGTGTCCCATTCTCTGTTTTCCTCTAAGACTTTCCTCCTAGACTTTAATGAGGAGGAGGAGGAAGATCAATGACTTCAACTAGGCATCTTCTTCCCCAATTCCTCTCTATTTTATCTGCACATTTGAAAAAGGCACGGGTCTCTTTAAATGTCAGTTTGTTCCTTGGTACCAAAAGCTGAATCACCACCCAGAAAATGTTGAAAGAGGCCTCATGTCATTGCCTTTGGACAGGCAGGCCAATTGCCCGTCGGTAAGCAGGATCAACAGATCCAAGCGGTGGAGCTGTTGCCGGATGTCCCACCCACAGCTGTGTGCGAAGAAGGCTTGGTGGTTGAGTGAATGAATGCATTAGTGCTTCCGCAAGGCGCATAATCTGTGCCACACCACACACATTTGGAGCTCCTGATGCAAATGGTGGTAGCTGATTGGAGGAAATCAGCTGTAAAGGACTTGTTCTTCTTGTTCTAAACTAGAAACAGGAGCATCAGTTTATCTGATACAGACGTGATGTGTCAATTTCAGTAAGATAATGTTCCGTTTCCCATGAACCTGAAGATCGTGATAAGTGATTTATACAAAATAGGTTTAATCTTTTCCGCAAGGAGATTTTCCGCAAGTAAATCACAACAAAACAACACTTGATTTATGTTAATAGATCACCTAGTACTCTGAATTCCTAACCTTACCTAGCTAAAATGAAACCATTCATGTACACAAGGAAGAAGTTAAGAGTTCTGACATTTTCAGAAGTATAAAAATACCTTTAGGTGGAATTAAAAAAAAAAAAAAACTATGGAGAGAGGGAACCACTGAGGAATGAATATGGTCCGTGTCCAGATTGCTGACTTGCTGGGAATGAGAAATGGGATAAATAAAATAAAGTGGAATAATGTATGTATGTATGCATGCATGCATGTGTGCATGCATTTAAAACAAGTAAATGTAAATGACAGCTTTCTGAAATAAAGGATCGTCCTTTATAATGAAGGATATGTGGTCACTGCCGATACCAGGGAAGTTGGCCCAGTGGCAGGGCTCCGGTCCGTCAGAGAATCGCTCCTCCCCGCCTTCGTTTTCACCGTGTCCTCTTTCTGCTCCCTGGTAGGTGGCTCACGCCAAGATCCAAGCCGCGGAGTCCCACTTGGAAGAGGCCCTGCGGAGGGAGAGCCAGATGATGGCTCTCATTCAGTCCCTGGAAGAAGAAAAGGCCCTGTGTCAGAAGGCCGTGGAGAAGGTCTGCGGCTACCTGTCCCAGGAAGACCTCTCTGACTGCCAGCAGCTGCTGAAGGAAGTGAACTGCCTCCCGAGCAAATCCTAGAGATCAGCCACAGACGAGGGAGTCTCCGGCAGCGCGGTTTCTGCTCGCAGACGGAAGGGAGGGAGGAAACGAGCCGCTGCTGTGAACAGTATCCGCGCCGTCCCGGGATCCTGCAAGCGGCAGTGGGAGCAGAGAGGCCTTTTTCAACCTCAGTATGCAAACCCCGGGTTAATTTCTTTTTTATAATACATGTACATAATTTGCAATGCACGAAACAAAAGTCGGAATCTCATGAAGGAGATCAGATGTATATTTAGGATTGATCTAAAGGGGAGATTGGTGAAATTTGAGACCGCTTGTAACTTAAATGTTATGGACCATACTTTCCCTTAGTAAGGAAGGTATTGGGTCTTTTCTATACATTGATCAATACTTGAAAAAAAAAAAAAGCAAGAATGTATTTTCCCACCTCCAAAGAGCAGCACTTCCCGACTTAACGGGTGTGTGTATGTCGTGCATGTGTGCTTCACATGGGGGGGGTTCGTTTCTAAAGTCTCACAGGGATGATCGCTGGGACGTGCCTGTGGTTAGCCCAGCTGGCCGTTGGAGGGAGCAGGCGCGGGCTCTCCTCCTCTCCCACTGGGGCAGCTGGCGGGGCCCGGCGCTGTCCTGCCTGGGTAAAAGTGACCGGCCTTCCCTGCCCAGCTCCGCTTCCCAAACCCAGAAGAGCAAGGAACATAAGGAACTCCTTCATCCCCCCTTCCCTGTGCACTTTTCTGGGAGACGAAGAGCAGAGAGCAGCTGGGTGGTTTAAGTGTTGCTGGAGCTGGAGCCTGTCAGAAAGCAGGTGGGACTCGCCAAGCAAACGCTTCTCCTGGGAAAAGACGTCTGAAACTCCTGGGATAAAGTCATTTCTCTGGCCTGCAGGAATTACTTTGTCTGAGGGAATCCGCAGTGTTGACCGCTGTCCTTACCTTAGCGCCTTAGAGCATCTTCTGGAGTCCTCCAGCTGTAATTGTCCCAAGATGACAGTCGGGAGGACAGGCCGCATTGCTTCGGCGGTGGCTCAGAGATGCTGTGAAGGCGCTAACAAGTCATGAGGGTTGGGGGGAAATGGCTGCAATTTAAACACAACAGATGGAATAGGCTTCAGCTGAACGCTGGGTCCTGCAGCTTGATTTCACTCCGGGTGTCCAGCTTTTTTCCACTGAATGTTAGGATTTCTTCAGTATGCAGGATCCCATAAAGCTTCACGGTTGCACCTGCAACAGGTGAACGTATAAGGCTGTAGCAGAGTTAACTCTAAGGGGAGTGGTTGGCCCTGTGTGGTAGCGGGCCCATTTCGGCTTAACGTGTCTATCCTTTTTTTTTAAAGAAGCGTTGAAAGCCAGCGATCCGGCTTCTTGCATATCCAGCAGCTTCTGGATGATTTTTATTGTTATTGTTATTGTTATTATTATTTTTCACTGCTCTGCCTGTTTCTTAAGTATGTTTGTTTTTGGAAGCTACTTCTGCCATACAGACCAGCATTGGATCTATCAAAATTATCTGAAGTCAGCATTGGATCTATCAAAATTCTGAAAATGGCAATCAGCCAACTCAAGAAATACACTTTGGAACATGCTTGAATTGTCGCCCCATCGTTGGGAATGATTTGTTGCATTTCCCCAGCTGCTTTTCCTAAAATACTAAGCCAAGTGCCAAATTCAGCCGAGTGTCTTACTTGTACAGGATACATGTGTGGGTGAGGAAGGTGAAAGTGCTTCCACCGTGACGTGTGTCACACACACGGCAAGCAAAACAAGGGACAACCAAGCTGACATTCTTTTTCACTGCGGCAGTGTAAGTCCAGCCTGCCTCCCTGTTGGGTTTCGAGATCATGTAATTCACACCGTCTCCCTGGGCACAATCCCAAAGGAAAAGCAAATACATGACAAGACACCGTACTAATTTCAGCTTTGCAAGAGAGGTTTCCAAAAGATGGTGTCTGGAGTTTATTTTCTTGCCTTTGCTGCCTCTTATCAAATCACAGAATCACACGAAACTGGTGAAGTTGCAGAAACATTGCACTTTTATCAGTTGGAGGAAAAATGCATTCTGTTTCTTTGCAAATTCATTTGAGGCCATCTTGCACACGCAGAACTAGTCTCAGAGAATCACGGAACTGTGTTGCAATGATCCGAATTATTAAGGCACGCAAAAAATCACAGAAAGTTTCACCCTATGTTAGTTTTACTGACTCGTTCATGTTGTCATGTGGAAAATTTCCAATAAATGCCATTGCTGCGTTTGGTCGTATTGCTTTCATTTGCAGTCGGGATCTTTCCGTGGGTGGTCGCACAGAGAGCTCTTTTTTGGGCTCCTCTCTCGTAACGTCTGAGCTGAGGGCCACCCAGCTGAATGGACCAGCAGCCAGGTCGTTCGAGCCAAAGAAAACATTTCGGGACATGATATGCTGATTGATGGGCGATGGTTTTAAAAATGGTGTTTGACACATTCAGATAATAAGTCTTGATTAGCTGAGTGGAAGGAAAGGCGTGGAGGGGCTGCTCTAAGAGAGGGCGCCCTGGGTGCCGGTAGTCTGGCCTCACTCTTCCTCCCCAAGCCAAAAAATTACAGTATGGAAAAATAAAATAACTTGCTCTGCCTGAGTAGAAACCAAGACGAAAGACTGCGACTCCGTCTTTGCTGCATCTCTCAAACGGCGCACTCTTTCTGGAAGGCCCGCAGAAGGTCCCAGAGCATCCGGAAGTGCCCCCTCCGTGCAGGACTGATGCGTGAGGAGTCAGAAGCCCCTGGGAGCGTCGGGAGTAATTTCCTGAGCAAACGTTGAAGGAGTAAAAAGGAAAGGCAGCCACCGCTTCACCTCTCGCAAGAGAAGACAAGGGACCTGAGGGAGGCTCTCTCCGGAAGCGTTACTTTAGGCACACCTCGAAGCCATTGCGGTTGGGCTCCGGGGGGGACGGGCCGCTCGTCATTATTGGAAGGGATCCTGGTAAAGCAGGACTCTGTTGCTTTCATAAGGGGTTCTGATTCAGCTGCTTTGGAGAATTCACTTATTTTGAATTGCTTGATCCCATGCGTTGTGAGGGGTCGAGATTTCATCCCCAGTTCCTGAAAATCTTACTCAGCTGTTTTCTGCTCGGAAAAGTCAGGCAGATCTGGGCCAAACCCTTTGTGCTCTGCTTGGGTTCATTTTTCCAAACAAAAATGTGATTTGCAGGAAGCTAAAAGTGTAATTCTCCATGATCAGTGTGTGGTTTTTCGTTTGTTTGTTTGTGTGTTTGTGTGTTTTTTGCAGGTGCCTGAATTGGGTCTCCAGCACCACAGGAAGTTCCTTTGGCCTGACATGAAACTCCTGTGGGGTGAACTTGCTCATTGTATTGCTACTCAAAGCTATAAATCCAAAAACCTGGAAAATTTGAAGAACAGATTACAGTAACTAATATCCCACATCTCCAAAACTACAGAACGGATGCAAAAAAGTGTTTACATTTCAAAAAAGTTGACTCTTGGATAATATCTGTTACGTATTCTATACTTCTTTTTTCTACCATACTTCTTAATAATATGTTCGTCTATTTATCAGCAGAGCTTGACAACTGAAGAGGTTCCTCAGCCCTGTTCTCCATAGTTTGACTACCAAATGCTACTGAGTTGCACCCGGCCGTTGAAATCACCTGGAAGTAGGCGTAGTACCACTTTGCTTTTCAACAGCTTTCATAGGAAATTCATTTGGAAGACCTCTGCACTGAATACCATTGGAGCAAAGGAAGGAGATGTCGGCTGGTGGTCCCTTGAGATGGCTCCGTGTCGTTGAACATCCACCGGCACCTTTGGCTCTGTCGCCCAGCTGCATCGCTTGATTGCTTAGATACCCGTTCGGTTCTGCTCTCAGAGGCCAGAACGTCTGTGGGTGTCCTCTGGAGTAATTTGTATCTGCTGGCTGTGCTAACCTGGCCAGGAGGAAAAGCTCTTTTGGGGATCCTCCTGTTCTTCTTGAAAGAACAGGCGGATCTTCGTGGCCCACCATGAAGGCTTAGCTTACATTTCTGGTCCCGGGTCTGGCTGGTCCAGGAGGGCGATGGGTGCGAGACCCTGCGCACAGCAGCGAGCGCTCCCCTGCCTCTCTTTACAACTGCAGGTGGGCCACTAGAGGCCCTGCCGCTTGCACGTGTCCCAGGGAAGCCGCCTCCACGTTTGTCATTCGCTGGGCCTCCTGCAGGGGGGCTTCATGGGTTAATCGGGGTCTCCACATTCACGGATGCTTCAGACCCCCCCCCCATGTCCTCTCCCTGCGACTCTGCTGCTGTTTTATTCCGTCCTCTTCTCCTGGGCACCCTTTCCCCAGTTCTTGTTTCTCTGCCTACGGTTACTCCTCGACGTTCTTCGGCCGGAGAGCTTCTTGCTGGGGGCTTCTCAGCGGGCAGCAGCACCGACCGCGGCAAGAGCCTCGGCCGGGACTGGCTCTGAGCAGGAGCCCCTGCGATGCTTGTGCGAGGCAGCTGGAGGAAGGCAGGGAATGCCCTTCCTGAAGCCCATTTTCAGCCGTTTGCAGGAGCGACCTGCTCAGCCATCCAGCAGCCATGATTTATTCTGGCTTCTATAATTTCTGCTAGAATAACCTCGCACTTATTCTCCTCCATTTTGTTTTGGTTGTTTTGCTGGGGGGGGGGGTGTACTTTCCACCATGCGTATCTAGAGAGGGAGAGGTGGCCCTAGGCTTGGATTGAGGAAGCCCAGGGTCACGTCCCCACACAGCCACAGAGCCCAGCCCTCTTTCAGCCCAAGTACCTCACAGTACCGGGCTGTGGAGATGAAATTCGGGAAGATGGCCACGTGTGTTGCCCTAGTAATAAGTCAGGGAAGGCGTGAGCGCTCTTACTGACGAGTATGGGGAGATCCGCAGGGCTGGGGAGCCCGATGGAAGCAGCGCCCTGGCAGGAACCTGCGTCCAAGGCCAGGCGGAGGAGGCAAAAAGGCCCCTGGGAGCGGTCAGGCCAAGGCAGCCCGCAGCGGCCTCGCGTCAGAGGCGAAGAAGAGGAGCCCGGCCTCCTTCAGGCAGCCTGGTCCAGCTGCCGCGTGTCTCGCTGGACGGCCTCCGTCTGTCATTGCGCACGGGAACCCAACCTTAAAAGGGGCTGGTGAAAGCCAGGCGTCGCACTCCCCACTGTGGGGCCACCCAAGGCGAGGGTCAGCCTTGCAAACTGCAAATTTTATACTTCTAATCCTTGCTTGCATCCAGCCTTCACCTGCTGAGAAAGAAAATAATAACACAGGCTAGTAGAAGTAACTGGTACCTTTGCTCCAGAAGCCTCTTTCTAAATGCTTCAGCTCTTGTTATGCAAACCATCCCTGTCTGCATCAGCTGGCTAGATAACCTTGGCTAGTGGGCCTGTGCGAGGAGAAACACCCATTAGTTCTCATTATTTTTTGTTTTCAAGCTTCAGACTTACATGGCATCCATTCAGTCTCCCATTTCCTTGTCCACCGATTTCAGCGGGGACCAGTAGGTGCTGGGGATTTGGATCTTCCCTTCTCCATCATTCCCCCCCCCCCTTCCTCCTCCTCCTTGGCATCTGGCCGAATCGCTCAGTTTTGTTCGCTTCAGAATGCAGACCATAAATACAGCAATAGCGTTCAACCACCTGGCCTTTGTTGAAGGGACCTCGCTGGCTTGGGGCCGCTCAGCTCTCAGCCCGCCGCCTCCTCCCTGCGCGTCAGAGTCAAGTCAACCATAAAAGTTTACACAGCTCTTTGCCGAGTCCCACTTCTGGTGAGTGTCAGCTCCACAACAGAGATTTAGTGGGCTGTACGCAGGATGCCGAGCAGTGCTTTCCTTCAAAAATTAACGATGGCAACAGAAACTGAATTGCTCTTCCATGAAAACACAGCACATAACACGGGGAGAGGTTTGCCCACAAGCTTAAAATAGGCTGTGTCCCCGTGAGGTCCCTGCGTTGCCATGATTCCTGGTGGAAACATTGCTCTGCAGCCTCGGCCTCGGCCCTGGCAGGAACTCTAGGTAATCTTTCTGAGGCCTGTGCAACTGGGAGGGGTGTGCGCGGACATCAGTTGCCTTTAGAGTGGCTGGCCATTAGGGTCTTCACTCAGAACATCAGAGGATGGGCTTTAGGGATCTGGGGAAGGAACCAGTGTTCCTGGGGATGGCGGATCTCCCCCCACCCTCTGGCAAGTCAACCCTTTGCCTGCAAGAGTGAAATGTGGGTCACTTGACCACCGAGGGCTGCAGAAGCAGGAAGAGGTCTCTCTGCACTGAGGGGCACACAGGACAGTGGTCCCTCACCTGGCACGGGGGACACTTGAGTTTTTGCTCAGGGACAAGCGCCGTGAAGAATTAGACCTCCTGTTCCCTGCATACAGGACTGTGCCGTCCTCTTCTGTGGCTGGAGCAGAGAGCCCAGGGGCCTGAAATGGGGCTCCGTTTGCCCAGGCAGAGTGGACCTCCTGCAGGAAAACAGCCCAACATCCTGGTTTGACCAGCACATCATTGTGTTGTTATTTCAGTGCCGTATCACTTATTTTCCAGAAAGCAGTGTATTAATTGGAAGAAGGAAGATTTTGACAAACCTGATGTGTAAAGCAAGACAGAGGGAGGGAATCCTCTGAAAACTTGCAAGAACATGACTCAATATAAACTCTGAGTATTCCTGTTTCCTGTCTGGCAGCAGAGGACAAAAACTTTCTCTGGACAGTTACCATAGACTTAAAAGAATAATTTGTAAGTATCCATCTTTGCAAGATGGATTAAGCAACTTTGTCTTAGAGACTTCCCAGAACTTGCCTTGCAACATAATTAAGATAGGACTTAATGGGAATCTTACACAGGAATCAGCCGGGAGGGTGCAAACACAAAGGATGTCGAGGCTGTTTTATACGGAGTGTCGCCAGAGTTCATTTCACAATAACTCAGCCCACGAGATTGTTTATCATCTTTCCCTTGGCAAGGTGTCAACAGCCATCTAAAGACGTTTATCCCCATCTTTTAATTATTGTAACTTTGACACGTCAGTTCCTGTTGTTTTTAGGAACATAAGGCATTTGAGTGAAACAAAACAAAAAACGGGAGGCCCGTGTGTTTTGCATTTATTAGGTTTCTCTAGCCCACTCGATCAAAGGGGCTCGGAGTGGACACTGTTCGGACGCTGAAAGCAGCTGATGTGGACGTGTGAATCCCAGCGCGGGTGGGCCGATCCTCTCCTCCTGCCTCTGGCCTGCTAGAGGGCAGGTGCCCCTTCGGCTGGAGCCCAGGTGCTCCGGATGCGTGGG